GCCCGGCTATTTTTTTTTTTTTTTGGTTGCAGCCATTATTGTTGTTTGGGGGGCCCAGGCTGGATTCGAACCCGCCACCTTGGGTGTATGTGGCTGGCGCCTTAGCCACTTGAGCCACAGGCACCGAGCTGAACTTTACCTTCTTGATCACATCTTGATTACATCTCCATTTGCCCTCTGTATCCAAATGAAGAGCTTTATGCATATGCATATAGCCCTAATTATTTAGTTTTCCTTGTTTTCAGACTTTGTTGTGATAGTTTATTGTATATATTATTTTGTGATTTACTTTTTTCATTAAATTTTGTTGCTAAGACGTAGCCTAACAATTGAGGTATATGTCTGGTTTATTAATTTTCTTGGAGGTAATTATAGCACCTATTGTTCTGGGCTGTTCTGTGAGTTAAATGAATTGATACATGTAAAGTGATTAGAGTACTGCTTAGCACACAGTGAGGGCTGTAAGAAAGATAGCCATCATATGTTTGCTGTTACTGCTATGGGAAATATATGAATATCACATGGTTTCGTTTACTTTCTTGCTCATGGGCATTTAAGTTGTTTCCAGTTTGTTAGAACAGAAAACTGTTCTCAACATTTGTGCCCTTGTGCAAGGGTTTCTCAAAGCCAAATAGATTGACTTAGAGGATTGCTGGGTCACAAACATAGATTATATCTGTGTGTGACTGTATTAGGTAGTGCCGTTTGTTTACCAAATATTGTGCCTGTTTATATTTCCACCAGCAGTGTGGGCGTTTCCATTTCTCCACACTCTTGCCAACATTATAGATGTGCCCACCACTGCACCTGTATAATTTTTAAAAAATTCTTTGTAGAGATGAATTCTCATTGTGTTGACCATGCTGGTCTAAAAATCCTGGCTTCAAGTGATCCTCCTACCTTGTCCTGCCAAAGTGCTAGGCTTGTACATGTGAGCTTTGGTGGTTGCCCACTTAGAAGTTTTTTTCTTCTGCCCCCTTTTTTCCTAGTGGGTTGTCTGTTATTTTCTTAATGATATTAATCCTTTGTTGATTCTGATTGACGGAAATATTTCTCCCAGTGGGAGGCTTCTTTTTTCTCTTTTTGTAATGGGGTTCTTTGATGACAGATGTTTTGAATTTTAGCAGAATTTATTCAGTTTTCCTTGCATTGTTTATCTTGTTGAAGGAATTTTTGTATATCATTAAAATATTCCCTGTTATCTATTATGAGGCGTGTAAATGCCTTAATATTTAAATAATTGCTCTACCTGGAATTGTTTGTTTATGGTGGTGGGAGGTAGATTACAATTTCCTTTTGATTTTTGTTTGTGGGTGAAGGGTTATGTGGTTGTCCCACTACCACTTAATAGTTCTTCTTTCTTCAATGAATAGAACGGTTCTCTAGAACGGTTTTAAGTGAAAGAACTATCTATTTGTACATTTCTTGGTTTTGTTCCTTATCATAAAGGATGCGTCTAAATTCATTCATCATTGAATACGTTTGTTACAGGTTTGTTTCACCCTTTATAGAAATTCCTTTTTGTCCTAGTTTTCTAAAAGGATTTGAGATTTGAGTGGATCTTGAATTTTATTAAGTACTTTTTCTTGAGTTCCTGCAATGTTGCTGTAGTTTTTCTTCTCTACTCTGTTAAAGGGGAGTAAATAGCTTTTGTGATATTTAGTTACCCTTGCATTCTTAGGATAAATTCAACATAGTTTATGATATAATGTCTTTTTTTATACATGGGTGGATTAAGGTTGCCAATATTAAAAGTTTATAGGTTTGTATGAAAGCAGCTGTTTAATGTAAACTTGTTTTAATATATTTTACAGCAGAAAATATAGGTGCAGAACTCAAAGCTCCACTTAAGCAAGACCCTCTCCAAGTAAGAGGTAAATATATTTTATTCTATTTTTTATTACAATGATGTTTTAGATTAAATATCTAAGAGTTTATATGAAATTTTAGAGTTAGGATATTCTGAGGGTATAGTTCCGTTTTACTTTTACATAGCATTTAAATAGATTGACTATAGGATTTATTCTCCTTATGAGCAAATTTTCTACTGAAGTTTATTTTGTGTTTTTGTCACAAATATTTCCAAGAAGCTAAAGAAAGGAATAATGGTAAATAAGAATCATTAATTGCTTTGTCATTTTTAGAAAAGCACTGTGATTAAAGAACAAAAGGCCAGTATCTTTCAGCTACTGCTTGTTCACTTCCACGTAGAGTTAGGCTATTCTTTTTTTTTTTTTTTCTTTTGAAACAGAGACAGAGTCTCACTTTGTTGCCCCCAGTAGAGTGCCCTGACATCATAGCTCACAGCAACCTCACACTTTTGGTCTCAAGTGATTCTCTCGCCTCAGCCTCCCAAGTAGCTGGGACTACAGGAGCCCGCCACAACATCTGGCTATTTTTAGAGACAGAGTCTCGCCCTTGCTCAGTCTGGTTTCAAACCTATGAGCTCAGGCAGTCCACCTGCCTCGGCCTCTCAGAGTGCTGGGATTACAGGCTCCTACTGTGCCCTGCCAAGTTAGGCTATTCTTATCTGACTTTCTTTTCTAGGAGTGATTGAGTAATGAAGGGATTCTTATTTGTAAATCCATTCTGTGTAATGAGCTATGGTTTCCATCTCCAAAGCAGCCGTTTCATGGAGGCAGCATTTAGTTAAAGAGCATTGTGGCTTGGGCATCATTCAGAACTGGGTTATTTGTGACTCCAGCCCTCACTAGCTGTCTGACCTTGGGCAATTTACTTGATTTCTCTGAGCCTTAGTTTTCTCCTTGTAAAATGATGCTAAAAATGAGACCTCTTTTCTAGGGTAATTTTGAAGATTACACGTAGTAGATAGTCACAGTTAAGCTTAATTAATGTTGTGATAGCAGCCATCATTATCTTCATCATCAATAATCTGGGCTAGGATAGGCCAACAGGAATTTTTAGCTATTTTGAAGAAATTTTTAAAAACTAATATTTTTTCGAAAACCAATCTTTTGAAAGAGAGAGATAATTCTTTCTATTCCAAAGGAGCTCACCTGGATTTTGAGTTTTAAGGTTCTTAGAGTAAGGCAGTTTAGAGACCTGAGACTTATGCAAGAAGAATTCTGAACTTCCTTTATTTATTTTTTAATTTTTAATTTTTTTAATTTTTTTTTTTTTTTTAAGAGACAGAGTCTCATTTTGTCACCCTTGGGAGAGTGCTGTAGCGTCACAGCTCACAGCAACCTCCAGCTCGTGAGCTTAGACGATTCTCCTGCCTCAGCCTCCCGAGTAGCTGGGACTACTGGTGCTTACCACAATGCCCGGCTATGTTTTTGTTGTTGTTGTTACAGTTTGGCCAGGGCTGGGTTCAAACCCGCCATCCTCAGTATATGGGGCAGGTGCCCTTCTCAGTGTGCCACAGGTGCCACCCTTGAAATTTATTTTTAAAGTATTTGTATTAAATAATATTTACTCATTAATTTCAATAGTTAATGTGCTATTTTAGAAGTAACAGATAGGCTCGGTGCCCATAGCACAGTGGTTATGGTGCCAGCCACGTACACTGAGGGTGGTGGGTTTGCACCTGGCCTGGGCCAGCTAGAGAACAATGACAGCTGCAACAAAAAATAGCCACATGTTGTAGTAGGCACCT